CCCGTTGGAGGTCCGTGGGTGGTTGTGCATCACCGTGCACTTCTGTGTGAGCGCAGTACGTGCCTGGAGTTTGACTCCTGCTCCTGCCACAAGGGTGTCGGCATGCCCGCAGTACCTGTCTCCAGTCCCCAAGTACTTGGAGTGTGCAGGAGGAGGTTAGGGGCTGCAGGCTCAGGAGCCTGCCGCCCAGGAGCACTCGGCTCCGGTGCAAGTGGCACGGTGGTGAGCCACTGAGAGCACGTGTGGCCTTTGTGTGTGGGCAGTTCCGGGGGCCCTGGCTCATGCCCTGCCGGCCCCAGCGGGGAGGTGGGCGCCCTGTGGGAGCTGCGTGGGGCCGCGCCCTGAAGGCCCGCGTGCCCCTCTGCATCTGCTGCAGGTGCGCGATGACTCGCCCGGGGGCGCTCCTCTCATCCCTGTGTAGCTGACAGTCCAGGTGGGGAAGAGATGGCCGACAGCGTCAAAACCTTTCTCCAGGACCTCGCCAGGGTGAGTACAGGGCTCTCAGAACCCTTCTGACCCGCTTGCTGAGGGAACTGGCCGGGAGTTCTTCGGGAGTTCACCGGGAGTTCACCCTGGCCACGCTGCGCCCTCGTCCTGCGGGCCGGGGAGACCCGTCCGGGCAGCGCCTGGTGGTAGGACACTGGTCAGCCTGGCCGCAGAGCCTTTTCTGGGGAGGCGTTTTAGATTTACGGAGGGGTTGCAGAGTAGTACAGAGTCCCCACGTGCCCTCCTGCAGCTCCCCGCACACCTGGTGTCTCTGTATGCGCGTCAGGATGGAGGACTGGGCGTTGGAACACACTGCTGCCCGGCCGCCCTGCCCGGGCCCACACCCAGCCTGTCCTTCCCTCCTGGTGCAGCCAGGATGGGCGCTAGGAAGATGCCCCGCAAGGTCGGTCTAGGGCCTGCTCACACAGTCCCGCTACCCTCAGTGGAGCCCTGCGGTCCAGGCGTCATCCCCAGCTGTAATCCCAGGCACGCGAGAGGCTGGTTCGGGGGCTCTTCCTTCAATGGGAGCTTAGAAGGCCAGCACCTCCGAGTAAAGGGGGAGTGAAGGGGAAGCTCAAGTGGCCTGAGGAAGCGCTGTGCAGCCTGACCTGGAATACCTTCTGTCACTTGCGTGCTGAAAGTTCAGCCTGGGTCCTCTGGTCTGTGTCTGCGTGCTTCTCTGCCCCAGACGAGCATCTCAGAGGTGGGGGTCATGTCGCCCCAGCATGCTCTGGGCCCTCAGCCGTTTGAGTTTAACTCTTTTCAGCATGACAAGGTTTCTGATTTTAAAAGTTATTGCTTGAAGTTAGAAGTTAAAACCAAAAAAAAAATTCAGAGTCACTCCAAGCCCAGAGGTCAGGAGCACACTGCCAGTTTGTGGTCCTGCCAGGCAGAACACAGACGTGCCCACCTCTGGGTCCTGGCTGTGCTGGTGAGTAACAGCACGTGACACAGCCATCCCTTCTCCAGCTTGGCCGCAGCTTCCGGAATCCCCTTTCCTGCCTTCTCGTGACGTTGGCCCCCGTGTCCCCACCGTACTTTTTTTGCACACGGCTTTAGAAAGCTGGAAAGGTTCTGGTTTGCTTGTCCCCTCCTGCTAAGTGAGCAGTTGCTCGAATGTTTCCATGTGACCAGCGTCTAGTCTGTTGGCGACACTCACTACTGGGTGGCACAGTTCTGTGAACTGGGTGACGGCACCCACAGGACCTTTCCGCTCTGGAGCTCTTTGGGTCCTGGCCTCACAGCCCGTGCCCGACTTATTCTCCTGAAGGGCCTGCCTGCCCCTGGTGTCTGCCTGGTCTTGTCCCGCCTCGTTTCACTTGTCCTCCTGTCCCTGGGTTTAGTACAGGCTTTAGGGAATTCGTTCACTCAGTCGGTAGGAAAGCGTCGGACCTGCAGGAACATGGCTGCATCATACTGACAAGTTTCCCGATCCATCGGGTTGGAAAACTGCAGCCACGTTCATGATCCGTTAGGGCAGGAATTGTCGGTGCTAAATGTAGGGTGAGAACTTGTGAGCAGAGTATTTGCATGGTCTCAGAACGTCTCTGTTCGGAGATTAGCTGCAGGAGGGAAACTTCTCACCACACACTGTGGAGGGCCTGGGCTGTGCGTGTGACGCCAACCTCCCCAGCAGAGGCAGGCAGCTGTGGTGTGCAGTCTGTGCTGACCCGGAGGGCGCCCCGTCACGTCTGTGAGCCTGGGTGTAATAGCAAACCTAAGCTGAAAGAATCCATTAAAAAACCAGGCGTATTTTTCAAAATGAAGGACAAAGGCTTAGAAATTGCAGCTGGTTACAGGAGCCTGGGTGCCTTGACAGTAGGTGCGGGTGTGATTCTGAACCGAGTGCTGGGCCCGGTTCCGGGGGCATTGCTGAGATGGAGGGAGAGGGCACCCCCTGGTTGTGCCAGGGAGCACTGTTCTTAGGGAGAAGCTCAGTTTTCAGAAAAGTGTGTGGGTGATGCCAGACTGGTGGATCCGGACAGAGGGTATCTGGGAATTCTCTGTTGCTCTTGTACTTCTGTAAACTAAGAATTATTCTTGAATTAGGAAGAAAGTCCACAGGCCCTGTAAGTGCTAGAGCAGGTAAGCACGCAGTGCAGGGTTCTCCATGCTTCGCTTTGCTGTGCTACGCTGGAGCCGTCCCTAATTTAGACTCTGCCCCCTCCCCATGTCAAGGAGCTGTCTTAATACCCTTGTCTGTAGGGCATCAAAGACTCCGTCTGGGGCATCTGCACCATCTCCAAGCTAGATGCGCGGATCCAGCAGAAGAGAGAGGAGCAGCGTCGGCGGAGGGCAGGCAGTGTCCTGGCGCAGAGGCGGGCCCCGAGCACAGAGCGGAGGCAGGAGAGGTGAGGTGGGGAGACCTCGGGCCGCGGCTTCAGCACGGCACTGCGCTGTGGGGCGTTCCCCGCAGAGCGCTGTTTCAGGGGGTCTCCACCCCAGGGGACTGACACTAGGAGCTAGCTGTCGTCCCACTGAGGACGTTGCAGTGTTGGACCAGCACATGGTGTCATGGTTGTCGCCGGACTCCCACGTAGTTGACTGCAGTTGGAGCCCCAGACCTGGCGGCTTAAAACTCATGCTGGGCGCATGTGCATTTGTGCCCAAAATCCTGAGAGGAGAATGGAGAAGGGATTGCAGCATGGCCATCTCCCCGGGGAGTAATTTCTCGCTTTCTGTTTTGCTGTCTTTCTGGCAAGCACATACCTTAACAGCAAAAATCACTTTTAAAAAAAATTACAAAAATAAAATGTTATGGTGTTAACAAAAGTCACAATGTGGATTGAGAACCAGAAAATGTTAGGTTTGAGGAGACCAGCAGGTAGTGTGGTGGTTAAGGTGCTGGACACTCTCACGTGGCCGACCATGGTTCAAGTCCCGGACCTAGCAGCTTGTTTTCTCACTTTCTCTCTCTCCCCCCTGATGTCTTTCTCTGGTCAAATAAAATAAAATAATAATGAGTGAATGAATAAGTAAAATGAAACAATTCTTAAAAACAGTTTTGATAGGTACTTTTAGGAAAGCCCATGTGCAGTGATTGATAGATGAGACCAGCCTCAAACTTCTTACTCTTCAAACTCCGATTTCTAGGTGCAAGTTTTTTTTTTTTCCCCCCCAAGGGAAGCTAGATACCCCCCTCAGACATTTTTATTGGAGCCCCAGACCTGGCGGCTTAAAACTCATGCTGGGCGCATGTGCATTTGTGCCCAAAATCCTGAGAGGAGAATGGAGAAGGGATTGCAGCATGGCCATCTCCCCGGGGAGTAATTTCTCGCTTTCTGTTTTGCTGTCTTTCTGGCAAGCACATACCTTAACAGCAAAAATCACTTTTAAAAAAAATTACAAAAATAAAATGTTATGGTGTTAACAAAAGTCACAATGTGGATTGAGAACCAGAAAATGTTAGGTTTGAGGAGACCAGCAGGTAGTGTGGTGGTTAAGGTGCTGGACACTCTCACGTGGCCGACCATGGTTCAAGTCCCGGACCTAGCAGCTTGTTTTCTCACTTTCTCTCTCTCCCCCCTGATGTCTTTCTCTGGTCAAATAAAATAAAATAATAATGAGTGAATGAATAAGTAAAATGAAACAATTCTTAAAAACAGTTTTGATAGGTACTTTTAGGAAAGCCCATGTGCAGTGATTGATAGATGAGACCAGCCTCAAACTTCTTACTCTTCAAACTCCGATTTCTAGGTGCAAGTTTTTTTTTTTTCCCCCCAAGGGAAGCTAGATACCCCCCTCAGACATTTTTAGTCTTTTCTCTCTGATGGACCCTGAACACTAGAAGAACTTCAGGTGTCAAAACATGGCAGCAGCAGCAGTGTGGGGTGGGGAGCGCTGAGTGACGGTTAGGAGGCAGCCCCGTGCCGTCTTTTCCAGTGAGCCACGCATCGTTAGCAGGATCCTCCAGTGCTGTGCGTGGAATGGCGGAGTGTTCTGGGTAAGTCCCTGTTCCCCGAATCCCGAGCGCTTTGGCCGTGTCTTCAGATCGTTGCTGGGTTAGCAGCTCTCACCCGTTCTCAAAGTGCAGACAGACAGACAGACAGACAGCCTCTGATCAGTGCTCAGGACTGGAACTCAGGGCCTGTGCGCTTGCAGCGGTTTCAGTCCTCCGTAAACACGTGTCGGAAGCGCTCCGAGTGTGGGCTTGCTCCTCCGTCCGAATGCAGTCACCCGTTCACAGGCTTTGGTACTGTAGAGGCGGCAGTTCCTTCGATGCCGCCTGGACGTCTTGGCCAAGAGCAAGTACGGAGGTCAGGGGAGGATAGGGGCGAAGCTCCCTGCTCTGTTCATGTGATCAGCTCGAACCGGGTGCTGCCGAAACCCACAGCAGAAAACGTTACTGCAATATACTGACAACCGACACAGACTCCAACGAGCCTGGAGTGCTGGCAGAACAAGTAGTTACATATCATTCATCTTGACCCAGACACTTCACAGGTGTTTTCCAGATGTCAGCTGTAGAGGAATCAATCGCCATTACTCTACTTAGCGTGCCCACATTGGGCCTGGTCCTACCCCAGACGTCCTCCACACCCCAGTGTCCCCGTCCCGGCTTGCGCTCCCGGCCGGAGGGCTAGGAGCAGCAGTGGGCACGGCCTCAACTCCCACAGGCCTCCTCGTTTCTAGAAGGACAGTCAGAGAAGAGTTAGGTTAAACGTCAGGCCCGTGTTTGACGCTCACTCGCCGCTGCTTCTCCAGTTCAGCCTCCTCCTGTTCTACCGAGTGTTCATCCCTGTGCTGCAGTCGGTCACCGCCCGCGTCATCGGTAAGTGGGTCCCGCGTTCCCTGCCGTCTGGGGCACGGCCAGTCCCCCTCTGTACAGACACTTCCTGTGTCCCCGGAGCTGTCGGTGCTTCCCACTCAGACCTCTAACGGCCCCTGAGCCGGGTGCTGCAGCTCTGCCTGTTTCGTGGATGAGGAGACGGAAGTTAGCTACCGAGGCGGGTTGTTAGGGCAGAGCTGGGTCGACGTGTGCTGTGAATGTCAGGACATCTGTCAGCGTCGCGTCAGCCTGGTGGTCACACGAGCCACCCAGAACCGGAGCTGTGGCCGGTGTGCGGAGTGTCCACCGTGACTTAGGCCCTCCAGAGCCGACGGAGCGCTGTGCTGACACACAGCCGTGTGGGGCAAGACCCGTCACAGAGCAGCTCCGCGCTGGCTTCTGGTGTGCTGTCCCCAGCCAGCACGGACCTCTCCCCTAGGTGACCCGTCCCTGCACGGAGACGTCTGGTCCTGGCTGGAGTTCCTCCTCACGTCCGTCTTCAGTGCACTCTGGGTGCTGCCTCTGTTTGTGCTCAGCAAAGTCGTGAACGCTATCTGGTTCCAGGTAAGTCCGCGCGGCGCGGGTCTGGCTGTGGGCACGGCCTGTGCAGGTGGTGGCCATCAGCACGGGGTCTGGCGGTGACGAGTGTTGGAGTTGGTGGTGTTGGGCGCATCCCCCTCAGCCTTGGCCCATGCTGGCCGCTGGGCATGCTCTCGTAATGTGGAGGACAGGCTGAGCACCCCTCCTCCAGGCTCTGGAATGCTCTGGAATGAGCCCCTTTAGAGCACCGACAGAGCACCTTAACGGGAAACTGGGCCCGACCTCGTGGCCGGCGCCGCAGTGCCCAGTGCTGCGCCGAGCTGCCCCGGGCTGTGTGCAGGGTGCATGTGGCACAGACAAGCTCGCGTTATGAGCACCTCATTATGGGTACGCAGGTGGAAACAATTCAAAATCCAAATGCTGGCCCCAGCGTTTCAGGTATGAGGTGTTGGCCTGTCTTGTCTTGCCGGGCGTCTGGGAAGTTCTCTCACGCGGCAGTTTTTTGTTTTAAAGGATTATTTTATTTATCTTTATTTATTGTAACTTGACCAGAGAAGATCAAAGTGAAGTGGGGCAGTGAGAAAACAAGCCGCCAGGTCCAGGACTCGAACCGTGGTCAGCCATGTGGGAGTCCAGTGCCCTCAACTGCCACGCCACCTGCTGCCCCAGTCACCCGGCAGTTTTTGTGGCCAGGCAGTGGCCGCAGCTCAGGGCACATACCGAGGCCGTCGCACGGTGGGCTGCGCTGCTCCCTCTTGCAGGATATCGCCGACCTGGCCTTCGAGGTGTCCGGGAGGAAGGCTCACCCGTTCCCGAGCGTCAGCAAAGTCATCGCCGACATGCTCTTCAACCTGCTGCTGCAGGCCCTTTTCCTCGTCCAGGTACTGGCCCAGCGCACGCAGGTCTGCGTGGAAACGGCTCACTGCAGGGAGCTACGCTGGGCGCTTCTACCGTGCCTTCCTGCTTCGTGACAGCTAGGATGTCGAATAGCTTCTCCATAGAAACACCTAGAGAGGGGCTGGCAGGTGGCGTGGTGGTTAGAAGCGCTGGACTCCCACATGGCCGACCACGGTTCGAGTCCTGGACCTGGTGTCTTGCTTTCTCATTTTCTCTCTCTCTCACTCTCTGGTCAAATTAAAAAATAATAAATGATCATAAATGAAGTTAAATAATTTAAAAAAAAAAAAAACCTAGAAAATTTAAAAGTCCTAAGACATAAGAACCTTGAATCTCCCTGCTCTCCTGGCACACGGAGTGTTCCTACTTCTGCCAGTCGGGGGCTTGAGAGTGGGGTGGGCAGCGCGGCAGGAGTGCTGACGGAGGAGGGGGTGGGTGTGCCGGGCTCAGAAGCTGAGTCGCGCCTGCGTGTGTGTTCACAGGGCATGTTCGTGAGTCTCTTTCCCATCCACCTCGTGGGCCAGCTGGTCAGTCTCCTGCACATGTCCCTTCTCTACTCGCTGTACTGCTTCGAGTACCGTTGGTTCAATAAAGGTCAGTCCACCCCAGAGCCCGGGATGCAGATGCCTGGTCTGCCGACTGCTTAAATAGGGCTCTTGGTCGAGTGCCGTAGGAGGAAGGAGCCTCGGGACAGGGAGCACCGTCTGTTGGGCTGAGTGGGTTCATTTTCACTCGGGGATGTGCAGTGTGGCCGCCGCCTGGGCCCGGAGAAGGCGTGAGTTTCTAAGAGCACCAGCTTCTAAGGGAACCACCGACACCAGCCAGGACGACCGTGGCCCGGCTCGGATGTGTGTGGTTAAGGAATCTCGGCAGGCCGACGCCCTTTGTGTTTGACGTGCTCGGTCCCATACTCGCCCTGACAAAGGGTGCTGGTGCTGAGACCCCCGGCCCTCAGCTGGCCCGCTTGAGGTTGATCGCTGACCGCTGGCAACTGCGCAGGCGCGTCGTGGGGGTCTGCGCGGCCCTCGCGGACGCCCTGTGCTGTAGTCCCCGGGGAGCAGGGTCCTGAGTCAGGCGCAGGTCCGCCTTGCGTAGCCAGACCCCTGGTGAAGGGGACGCGAGTGGCCTGACGGGGTCTGACGGCTGGCCCCTCGCTGCAGGGATCGAGATGCACCAGCGGCTGTCCAACATCGAGAGGAACTGGCCTTACTACTTCGGATTCGGCCTGCCCTTGGCCTTCCTCACGGCCACACAGTCCTCATACATTGTCAGGTACTTGCTAGGGACTGGGAGGGGACGCCGGGCACGTGCTGGCGGGCCTGCAGGTGTCTCGCCTGGACTGATAGACGCTCGGCAGGAAAGCGTGTGTGTCCGTGTCCCTGTGTCCCATGCTCTGCCTCGGAGTCGCTTCCCGAGGCATGTTACGTGGCCCAGTGCTGAGAAGATTCTGCTTTCCTGAAGGTGCATCTCCATGCTGAGGCTTCATCGAGCCCTGCCGTGGGCACTGGAAGCAAAGAGACTTTGTGCGTCTGACACGTCCCCAGTCACGCCATGGGGAGGTGGTTAACGACTCTCTTCCTGTGTCTTCTCCCACAGCGGCTGCCTCTTCTCCATCCTCTTCCCGCTGTTCATCATCAGCGCCAACGAAGCCAAGACCCCTGGCAAAGCGTAGTAAGTAATTAGCCCGCGGTGACGAGTGGCGCGTGGACGGGACTAGGACAGTCACACCGCGGCTGCGTCAGTGAGACTTAGAGTGTAGCCTCTTACACAGCCGCGAAGCTGTCACGTACAGCTGAAAGAGAGGAAAACACCCCTGGGCACGCCCAGACACCTGAGTGTGTGTGTCTAAGTGCCCTTCCCCAAACCGGTCAGCCTGTTATGCGGGGTGTAAACTTTGGCAGTTCTCCGAGTTTGAGGCACTTTGTAAAGACCGTGGGTAAGCTCATTTTTGTGAGAATGGCCTACTTTTAAAAACAGTGGGCTATTATCTTGACAAGTAAGTTTAGTGACACTTGGTGACAGTAAAATACAATTTATTTTTAGCGCCAAAGCACTCTAAACAAGCGTTTTGTTGCTTCACGAGCCCCTTGGTCAGCTCATCTGATCAGTCATCGGCACGGCCCTGAGGGCCCCTGTGTTACAAGCCTTGGGCTGACTTGGCCTCGCATGCTCTGGCCCTCGGGCGTGCTTGCTTGTGTGCCTTAAATGGTACTTGAGTTTCTCGAAATCTGACCACAGAGAGCATGTGTCCTCAGTCATAGCTTGACATTGGAAGTCGGCCGTGGGAGAGTACTGCTCCCAGCACAGCTGGTCTGAGACAGCGTGGTTTCCTCTGAGCACCTGGTGTTCACAGCCATCATGTTCCTGGTACCGGGCCCAGGGCATTCTCTGGTGCACATGTGTCTCACGCACTTCTCGAGCACAGTTCTCCTGTCTCCCCTGGGGTAGTTTTGTTTGTTCGTTTGTTTGTTTTTTTGAAGAGGTTTTTGCTATAGGGTGCATGTGCTCACCAGAAAGACAGATACAGAGACGCAGAAAGTGAGAAATCACCCCCCAGGGGGGATGGCCACGCTGCAATCCCTTCTCCTCCATTCTCCTCTTGGCATGTACGCACACACGCCCGGTTATCAGTTTAAGTCACCAGGTCTGGGCCTCGAACCACGGTCGACTACATGGGAGTCCAGCAATATAGCCATTACGCTAACTGCTGGTCCCTGTTTTTTTGTTTTTTGTTTTTTGTTTTTTTTTTTAATAAGGCTTTTGCCATAAGGCATGTGTGCTTGCCAGAAAGAGACAGAGATGGAAAGTGAGAAATCACCTGCCGGGGCGATGGCCACGCTGCAGTCCCTTCTCTCTTCTCCTGGGTTTTTGGGTGTGCATGGACACATGCCTGGCATGATTTTCAAGCTGCCGGGCCCAGGACCCCGACCGCAGTTAGCCGTGTGGGAGTTCAGTGTTGTAACCACCATGCTGCCTGTTGGCCCTCCCAGCCCTCCTCACTGCTGAGGTAGTTTAAGATCGTAGTCAAGTCAGCTGTGACGTGACCGAAGCGTGCGCTGATGGCGGGTGCTAACGGTGGGTCCTGCCTGCAGCCTTTTCCAGCTGCGCCTCTTCTCCCTGGTGGTCTTCTTAAGCAACCGGCTTTTTCACAAGACTGTCTACCTGCAGTCCGCCCTGAGCAGCTCAGCCTCTGCGGAGAAGCTCCCCTCGCCGCATCCGTCTCCGGCCAAACCCAAGGCCGCTGCCGGCCAGTGAGTTCCTGCCACCCAGGGAGAGGCAGCTTGGAGGAGGCCGCGGCAGCCCCTCCCCACACCTGTGCAGGGGGGAGGACCCATGATGCCAAGGACCTCTGCACGTTCCCTTCACAGGGAATTAGAAGGTCCGTCCCTGGAGCCTGCAGGTGGGGCCCCGACAGCAGGCTGTGGTCCTCTAGCACTACCATGAGTCTAAGGGCCACGGGTCTCCTGCAGCCGTTGCAGCCCGTGCTGGCCCTGCGCCTGGACTGACTGAACGCTGCGTTCTTCTCCCTGTGCCATTTCCCCTGCCCTGCCCTGCCCTCACCACCTGTGGACAGTGGGCTCTGTCATTGTGTCCTCGCTGTTGTGTGTCGTGGGTGTGGTTCTTGCTGTCTCTGTGAAGCACATGCATTGGACATGGGCGGTGAAGGAGGACCTCACTGTCCTGGTTGTTCCCTTTATAGCCATCACTGTCTTGTTCCTTGTAACTCAGGTTAGGCTCGGGTCTCTTGCTCCACTGCAAAAACAAAAAGGAAAATAAACAAAAACTGTTGAGCCTAGAGAGGTGGGACTGGAGGGAAGGCCTCATAGCCAGGCCTGCTGGGAAAAGGCTTTTCCGCTGGCACATGTAGAGCCCCTGTTTGTGGGGAGGCACCAGCCCCGGACAAGTGCCCTGCGACAGGGACGCTCAGAGCACCTGGACTCCTCCGCTCGGGGACTCACTGCCGGCCCGCCGGGCTGTCCTTCACAGGAACGTTGGGTGCTGCGCATAGGAGCTGAGGGCCAGGCGTACTGAACCACTAACCGCCATTGGTTGGTGTCCTGTCATTTTAAGAGACTAATTATGGGGGTGTAGATGTCAAAATACTTGTACAATTTTAAAATGTCACAATTAAATGTGAGCTGGTTTCCCACAGCGTGTAGTGTCACATTTAAAAATCACGACTGTGCAAAATGACTCACAAACATGGCCTTTGTCTTTGCTGGTTTGGTTCCACTTTCTGAGCTTAGCTCTGACAGGTTAGTGCTTATAGTCGTGTTTACACCCTGCTTTAAAGTGTGTGTATCTCTCCGTACATGCATGAAAGGAGAAAGACCCAGATCCTTCAGGGTATTCGGCATTTGCCACGGGCAGGATGAGGCTTCTGGGTAACAGAACCCATCGCTCTGAGACACAGAGTAAGGAGCTGCACATCTCGGGGGTCGTGCACCGGGCACCAAGTGCTGATGCAGCTGACGTAGATTTGTAAAGGGCAGGTGTCCTAGTTTCCAGATTGTGCAGAAAAGCACGTGAAGACATGGGTGAGGTTTAACTCCAGCACGCCATGACATCTCTGGCCGTCAGACAGTGGTGTCGCAGAGAGCCAGTTCCAGGCATCACTGTGGGGCGGGGTGGGAAGAGCTCAGGTTTCATTAGCTTGCCACTGACCAGTGACCACTTACACTGAGTTTTTAAACTGTTTTAAAACTAAGCTCAGTTATTTTAGCAGCCACATCTTCGCTGCCTAGAATGGGGCTTCCTCACCAACCAGAAGCATCTCAAGTAGGTGTGGAAGAGCACGGAGGCCAAGGGGCGGAGGGCGGAGGAGTGGAAGAGCGAGCCGGAGGCTGAGGGGAAGGTGTAGGCTGTAGCACTCACCCTCCAGCACTGTGCCTGGCGACTCAGGTGCTGTGTCGGCAACTGTCTCTGTCGGTGTGGGAGAGGCCGAGCCCACGTGCTGGCTACATTCAGCGAGTCTGCGGTGGGGATTTGGAGTCAGGTTTGTGGGCGAAAGCATCGGCGACTCGTGTTTTCCCGAGGACACGGGCACTGAGCAGGGGAAAGGGAGCGCACGCACATCACTAATGAAAACGAGAGTGTGGGGGTCTCAGAGCTTGGGTTTCAGTCCCACAGTCAGTAGGACCCATAGAGTTGTTCGCCAAAGCTTTTCTCAGGGATCAGCATCACAGCTTGGGTGGTAAATGATTCAAAACGCGCCCTTTTTCTGTACCTGGGACAGCTGTCCACTGTAGTAGCCTGCCAAGATTTCCAAAGTGGATGCTTCGGGGCCGGCCCTGTGGCCTGGTGGCAGAGCGTGTGGTTTGAGCCCTAGTTCCCATAGCTAGACAAACACGGCAGGCACGTGTGTGCCCAGATTCCCAGAAGGAGGGTGAGTGGAGAAGGGACTGGCGTGACTGTTCCCCATGGGGGGGTGTGTCGCCTCTCCCCGCGTGTCCCCGGCAAACAAAGTCAGAACTGTGTCTTAGAGACTTAAGCAACGGCTTACATTAACTACGATGCCTTAATAAAAGGTAAGGTAAAGTGTTAGGCGTTCAGGACAAATGAACAAAGCCAGAAGCAGGCAACCGACGGTTAGAGGTTTGTAAGCCACGGGAGAAAGGACAGCTACAGTTGATCACTGGCCGATTGGGTCTCACCCTCTGCCACCCCTTCATGCGGGGTAAAGCAGTGATTCGGCTGCGGGACGCGAATTTACCGCTGCCGAGACCGCTCTACGGGGGCTAGCGTTCAGCGCGGAGGCAGCTCCTCGTCCCTCTGGCATGTTCTGCCTGTGTCAAGTGGCCCGCAGTAGTTAAAGGTCAGTGTGGGGCAGGCCTTCGTGAAGACCACAGCCACCCGTTAGTGAGTGTCCAGGTCACAGGCCTGCAGAGGAGAGCAGGGAGATGGGCACTACCCACAGCAAGGCCGCAGGACAGAGGAAGCCCGGGCTGGGGACAAAGGGCACAGGCAAGGATCGAGCACCTCTGCCAGGCACTGTGCTGGGTGTTGGTGACTCCTGCCTGCTACAGCAGGAGCCCAGGGAGGGAGGCTGACAAGCAGGTGCAGGAGCAAACTCGATGATTCTGTGATCAAATAGCTCCATTCCCCACAGCTCTGGAAGCTGTAAAAACACTGGAATTCAGACTAAGTAATGAGAGAAAATCCTAAGTTCAGCTTCTCTTGATCATCCTCTGATTTGGGGTTTAAATATCTTCCGCTGCTTTCAGCCCTATGGAGGACTTGTGGCCTGGTCATTTAGGTAGGTACTTGCCAACCAGCAATCGTTATCAGAACCGCCATCAGCTTCTCCAGAACACACAGAACACATGAGCCTGGGACAAAGGTCATGATTGGAAAAAAGTAACTGAAACGGGACACGAGAAGCTACTGCATCCATAGAGAGCACAGACTAGGAAGGTTGTCTGAAGCTAAAGGAATTAGGGAAATTGAAAAACAAACAAACAAAAAAACATGGCACTGAACAGGCTGTCCATGAATTGAAAGATGGAGTTGAGGCGGTCTCTCCGGACATACAGCAGAACGGTCAATAGTTACCCCTGGAGGGACCCAGGAGGGAGATCTGTTTGCCTAATGGCAAGTTCAGAAAGCTAGAACAGAAAAATGGCGGTGAGGGACATCAACATTTCCTGACTGATGGGGAAGACAAGTTTTCAGACTGGAAGGGCCCACGTGTAAAGAGGAAAAATGAAAGAAAAGATAGAGAGATGGGGTCTAGAGGAAACTCAGCGAAACGTAACTCAGGCTGCTTGGCATCAGACCCGCTCAGAAACAGTGCTGGGTAACAGCCGTGGAAGTGTGTGCGTGTGTGCACGTGTGCACGTGCACACATGGGGTTGAGGGTACAGTTTTGTTCCCAGAATTCTAAACCTAGCCACGTTACTTTCCAAGGACAAGATGAGGCATGTTTCCACATGCACAGCTTTAGTGTTCTGGGAAAAGTTACTTGGAAGACTCATCAAAAATGAAGAGTAAATAAATGTCTTATTAATAAAACAGTCTAGCGGCTCACTAAGAAAATCCCAGGAGTCCAGCTCGGTAGGTCACTCAGAACGAGGCAGCGGAGGCTGCTGTGGGACGATGGCAGGTGGTCCCGCAGATCAGGAACAAAAAAGAACTTTGACAGACCAAGAGGACTATAAGGGAGTCATCCCGACAAGTCATCCCATTGATCGGAACTGATGGTTGTAAAAATGCTTTCTGAAACAAGTCAAAACGTTTAGGAGACTGACAGACTGAATTCATGGGAGGCGGCCTGACCAAAGGTTTAAGAGGACCACCCACGGGGCAGTGGTGGTGAGACCATGCCCACAGCAGCCTCACCCGACAGCTGCACGGTGCGGGGCGTGGTGATCTGGCTGTACCTCGTGGAAGGATCCCAGCTCCTCCCTGTGCACACCTGGCACCACCAGTGATCTTGGCTGGCTGAGGCTGGGGTGGGTCATGGCAAGAGGACCCTGTTGGAAGCGCCTATCTCGCGTGGAAGAAACACGTGAACTTAAAAAGGCTAGGTTTGCTGCTCTTGTGTTCACACGCACGGGAATTTCCTTCTCTCCATGCGAGACTGTGCCAGCAGGGTGGTTCTGAGTGCTGCCGCCCACTCCCAGCCTCAAGCAGCCCTTTAGGAGAGCGGGTCCGGCAGGTGGTCCCCAGGACGCTCTGGAGTCCCCACGTGGTCACCTTGGCACAGTGACTTTCACCACGGTGCCACTTTCAGGCCCTTCGATGGCGTAGCTTGATTTCTGAGAACGTTGGACTTTCTTACTCTTGCGCTTCCGGAGTCAGGGCTGGAGGAGACCGCAGCGTCCCCTGCTGTTCTAGCCCTCCCGCGCAGCTATTTCACCTGCAGCCAGCCGGCTTCGTGACTGACTGACACTTGGGAAAATGTCTTTATTGGTTTTTATTTTGGGGGGGGGGTAGCTATAGGACACCTGTGGTAGCTGAAAGACAGAAACCGAGAGATCACCCCAGCCCCAGCCCCGCATGAGTTGTGGCCATGCCACAATCCTTTCTCCTCCATTCTCCTCTCGGGACTTTGGGTACCCACAGGCGCACTGCCCTGTTTCAAGCTGCTGAGCCAGGGACTCAAACCGCGGTCCCTACATGGGAATCCAACAACGTAACCATTAGGCCATCTGCTGGTCAAAAACCAGTGCGTCCTTGTGGCCATCAGATGGCCTGGCGGTTAAGGTGCTGGGCTCCCCCAGGGCCAGCAGAGTTTGACCCGGAACCATGACACTTGGGAGTGCCCAAGACCCCGAGAAGGGATTGTGGCATGCCCCTGTGTGATTTCCCACTTTCCCTCAGACGGCCGATGCGCGGGATTTCTTAGTTCCCCTGCCAACCGAGTAAAACAAAAAGGGACCGTTGATCACCCTTCGCTAACTTTAAAAATTGAATGAGAACCTCAAACTCTGAAGTTTTTTGTGTTTTTGTTTTTTTGAGATTTTTGCTATAAGGCGCGTGCGCTCGCCAGAGACAGAGAAAGCGAGAAAGAGACAGAAGGGGTGGTGGCCACGCCGCAATCCCTTCTCCATTCTCCTCTCGGGATCTTGGGCACGCACGCACAACGTGCCCGGCGTGAGTTCAAGCCACCGGGTCCGGGACTCGAACCGCGGTCACCTACGTGGGAGTCCAGAGACAGCCATTACTCATCAGTTTTTTAAAAGCAGACCCTCGGAACGCCTTCCTGCTGGAAGGGGCACCTCTGGCCTGGCCCTGAAGGCGGGCAGCGCGCTGGGCGCTCTCCGGAGCTCCGAGTCCTCAAGCCCGACGCGGGTTACCTCCGCTGCACCTTTGGGAAGGCCACGGGAACCGCGGCTTCCGCCAGTCCGTCCGCGCACTTCCGCCTCCGACCACGTGACCGGGATGAGCCGGCCCCTCCTTCCCGGCGCAACTGCTTCCTGGTCCGCGGACCGACACGTCACTCCTCCGCTCTCAACCAAACTGCCTCGGACCGTTCTTTCCGCGCTCTTTGCCCTCACATTCGAACCAATGACAGCCCGGACGGGCCTGTGGTCCCGCCTCCAGGCCATTGCGTGACGGCTAGACTGGCCAGCTAAGAAAGGGAAACGCGACCTGGTCTCCGCCCCCTGACCTGACTGACAGTACCTTCAACCTATCGTCCTCCGGAACTGTCGCATTGGCCCGGAACCAGCCAATAGGGAGCGTCTTGAGAGGCGTGCCGGCCGCCT